AAGATAAGGTTCTTAAAACTTTAAAGAAAAAAATAAATAGAAAATTAGATATGTAAAGTAATCTAAAAATTATATAAGAAAACCTAAAGTAATATGTATATAGTATTTACAAAATAAATATTAAAATATTTACAAATAGATATTAGAATATTTACAATATATTAGAAAAAGAAATTTATATATCTATAACTTAAATTTACCAAAATAAAATTATAAAACTCTAAACATTTCATTTGAGATTCAATAAAATAATAGAAACAGAAAACAAAAGACATTAGATTGTGATGACCAAACAGAAAGATACAAACACGTATGCACTGGGGATATACGAACACAACCGTGGCACTTGTAAGCAACACACTCAGATTTGAATACCGCAAAATCAAAACGAAAACGTGAGCATGAAAACGCAATGAACAAAAGTCGAACTACCTCAAATTCGAAACTCCTTCTGCTTGGTTTCGACTTCTCACTCTTCTCCTTCACTTCCGTTTCTGTTCTTCTTTTGGCGGTGCGGCAGTGGATGGTTGATTATCGGAACGATGGCAGCTTGATTTCTGATGGTCTACAATCTCGCTCACCACGTGTTCGATGAAAGTACTGCTATGGTTTGGATGCTGGTTGCAAAGTTTACAGTGAGTTTATGAGGTAGATGGATTGTTGAGTTGGGTTTGAAGTTGAGGTGGTAGTATGAGCTGTTCGAAAACGGTGTTCAAAGGTGAGGGAAATGAAACGAAGGTTAAGGTTGCTGCAAGAATGGGTGGATGATGAGGATGAAATTGGTGAAGAGTTTGGGGTGGCTGCTGCAATGGTTAGGGTTTCTCCTTTTTTTTCTACCAGCCTCCTTTCTGAATGAATGGTAACAAAATATATATGATGGGAGATTAGGGTTTTTTTTTTATGTTTGAATCAAGATAGTGTATCATTTCTGCTAGCACTTTTTGATGCCCAGACCATGTCTTTCCATTTTAGTGAATCTGGCTCTGCTGTCCTATTTTCTTGTCTCTGAATTTCGTCTGTTTGTGCTGACTGTATCTTCTGTTATTTACTCATGATTTTCACTGTGGTAACACAACAATTTTACTGATACAAACTTGCTGATGTGGTATTTCTTCATTCTTAACTGAAAACAAACTCTTGGTCTGCTGAGAATGCTCTTCCTCTTTGTTATTATGGCTAGGGGCTGATTGGAGACGAAGTTGTTGTTGCAGAAGGTACACAATCTCCTGAGCCTCATCATATTCCTCCCTCTATGCCTTTTTTGGTTCTTGGGATTGATGCGAAGAACGCCAGAAAGTTATATATCTCAAAAAAAATCATATTCTCCATTTCTAGGATACAGTTTCGTCACCATCTGGTTTCAATACCATTGATGCATGACAGAAATTACCGAGGACAACAAAACTGCTGTGTTCGAAATTGGATACTATCATTTGACGGAAAATAATTTGCAGAACCGCTGTGTTCTTCTTGAACAAATGTTTGAAGACGACTTTGTCTGTTCATGATAAGAATTGTTCGGATACAAAATTCTCCTTTTCCGTTTTGTTCGAAATAGAGAGTCTTCTGTATCTAAAACGTATGAAACCTTGGATGAATTGCAAGCAATCTTACATTCCAGACCATTGGTAACTTGTACTCCATCCATAATCTGGTTTGGAAATTCATCACTCCAAGCACATTTTAGCTTATTCCTTTTTAAGAAAATTCCGGATTTCTCCTTGCTGTCGGGGACAACAGATAAGAAGTCGTTGTGCAAATAGGCTGAAAAATTAGGATCTATTGACACAACAGTCACTTCAGGCTTATCGTGTCCGTAATCCATCAACTGAATAGACAATCGGGGCGGTGTAGACGAACACTCAATACGATATATGTTCTCATCATGAAGAAGAACACGTGCATTTTCATGATAAACTATATCCACAAAGCTTCCAGGTTTTCTTGATTGCTCATATGCATATAGTTGAAGAAGTTTGCTATCCATCTCATCAGTAGCAATGGCAACAGCTTGAAGCTGTTTAACAAGTTTATATATCAGCTTGTCTATCGTGAACAAGACATACGACTGAGTTCCAATAATAGCACGACAGTCATCTTCAAATTTTGAATTATCAGAAGAGCCATCCAGCAAACTGTAAAGAGAACTCATGAACCTGCCATATTGATCAGTAGAAACTGCATCATTTGAAGCTCTCCATTTTCTTTCAGCAGAGGATGAGTTTATCTTGGCTGATTGTATCCTCTCATACAATGTCTGATGAAGTCTAAACAACACATAAAAGGAATCATTTCCATAAAAAATTTGAACATTCTTTTCTTTCCCGTGCACCACCGGGCAAACATGTTTTACCAGAGGCTTTACCGTGAGAAGAAAGTGTTCAGAGTATGACCCTTTGATGGGAAAAAAACTTGAGAATCAGTGCTCAACAGAGTGCTAAATATATAAATAAGTACAACATGATATCTATGGTGATCCTCTTCTTAAAATTGACACCATTGTTCACCGAGAACTGCTTGTTTTCTGCTTGGCCTTCTCAATGAGGGGCTTCAACTGCTTCTGCTTTGATATCTGGGTTAGGCAGGATTATCTCTGCCTCGTCCCTTGTCTCAGTAGGAATCATCTCCCCCGATACTGCCTCTACAGTTTTCGCTATTTTCTTTGCAGTTGTGGGCTTCTTGGTTTTACTAGCAGGACGCTTTATCGCTTGATGCTTTACTTTCAACTTTGAGGTTGGGTCTAACAGTGAAGGTGATTTCTGTTTTTCAGTTTCATTTGTGAATTTTTTAGGAGGCATTACTTCACATTTTTCATCAGGTTCAACTGTTTCTAACTTGTCTTCTGTTGAGGTGTCAAGTTTTTTTTGAAAGATGAACCAATTCCTCAGGAGCCATACCCAACTCAGATTCACATTTGTCATCTGGAGCCTCTGTTTCATCATCCAAAATATCAGTTCTGCCACCAGCATCTTCTGCATATTCACTAACCGCTTTTTGCTCCATCAATTTGTTAACATCAAGGACTGGGGGTGATGCCTGACGCTTCTTAGCACCAGAAGTTGCTATTTCTTTGCTTCCACTGGAAGAACTTAAGCCTTCATCTTGCTGCATAGTTTTATTCAAGCAAACTGAACTCTTCAGTTTAGCAGTAGCACCTTTTCTGGGTCTAGAACCCAAAGTTCTCTTGACAGTTGATTTCTTGCAGGGTGACCTTCTAACCAACTTATCGTTTTCTTCATTGCTTAAATCCCAATCATCAAGACCAGCAAACCCTTCACTCTTTGACTTCTTTCCTGGTGATGAAAAATCAAGATTTGTAGTGATATTATGCTCCTCTTTCTCTTCCTCCTGTCTTTGGAAGATATTTTTCCTTTTTTCTACTTATATTTTTTTAGCATCAGAGCTATCATCAGATGATAAGGATTTCACTGACTTTTTCTTTTTGCCTATTGTTTTGAGTTGGTCCTACATTGAAATCAGTCTTCTGCAGGTTTGTAGTTTGAGCTTTGTTTACGAGTTTGTTCCGCAGGGTGACGCTCAACCTTAACCTGCTTTGAACTCATGTCTTAGACTACATAGTGGCCTGAGGTAATATACTTGACCCTTAATCTTCAGGCTATTAGTTCTGATGTGATAACCTTGCCCCGACAGAAATGTCTCAGCATATGTACTCAAACATTTCTTTCGCCATTCATTCCGACAAACATCTGATTAATATTTTCTCTGCTAACCTCTTTCCATTATTCTTTTTCATGTACGTGATGAGAGTATAAATCAACCTTGAAACTTGCCTTGCGGAAGATTGGACACGGTGGACTTAACACGGCGAAGAGGACTGGGTATGAAGAGAAAATCCACAGTTGCTCTTTAAGTCAAGGGCTTTATTCGAAGATGGAATTCAGTTTTTTATGGACTTCATAGACTCTGCAGAAGTTGGAATTCTGATCAAACAATTAAGTTATAATGAGCAGCAAATAGCTGTGATTATTCGCGGTTCCACAGCTGTGTGTACGCGACTTGAAGACTGATATGGTAGAGTCACATGTTGCTGCAGGCGTTTTTTTTTCACGGTGAGCTGGTTGGTGATATTTGTTGCGTTTCCACAATGTTGTACAGAACGGCTTGCTTTGATGTTGCGACTGGCCTTTGACTTCGCCGGTAAAAACGACACCCCCATTCCTTGTACAAAATTTTGTTAAAGTTTTATGACCCCTTGATTTGTTTGTTCTTCTTCTAAATCACAATTGTTGCTGCCTTAATTTTGTGATTGTGCAGGTTCTGCTGATGATCAAGTGGAGAAGTACGAGCTGTGTTTCGGTCAGAAGTGAAGCGCCAATTAAACCTGAACTTCGCAGATGAGCACTCGATTGAGCAGACGAGTTAGCAACACAGACCTGGATTTTCAAGTTCAGATCCAAACTTTCCAGCTCAATTTCACAACATAAAGCAACTTTTGCTTTTGTGATGGCTATCAACTCACAAGATGAGAAGGTGAGATATTAATAACGGGTCCTCTCGTCATTTTCTAATTGCAAACCGTCCATGCCTCTAAAGATACTTTCATAATTATTGACATGAGAAGCATCTCTTCCAGCCCGTGTTATTCTCTGAGGATCAGAAGACCCGATCGGTGAACTTCTTTGCTCACCCAAAATTCGGCGTGCTGGTCCAGGGCTAGCCTCAGCAGTGCGTGTACGGACATCTGATTCAGCACCAACAAATGCACTACGGCTACTAGAAACAACAACTCACCTGGATGATCCATTTGACTGGCCCAAGACATTGGCACTTGAAATAGTATTCAAAACGGGTCCTGACATTCTGCGCCTCAAGGAATCCACTGATACCAAACCAGGGGGTTGCCCTCCTTCTGCTCCTGTATGTCTGTCACTATACACAATTCAACAATGGAGCCAAGTCCTTCCATTAAGAGAGTCTGACAGATTCAGCACATCAAATATCTAGTCACAAATGTAGCCTGCCATTTCAAAACAATCGACTTAATCAAAATAAGAGCTCATGTAAAGCCTCACTCCAAAATTAAGAGGCCCAGCATCACCACCAACAGCATGAATTGCAACTGGAATTGTTGAAAGAGGATGCACGGTGAGTGGAAAAAATGCAGGATTAATTTCAGTGTTCATGTCAGATGCAATAGAATCCACTCCCATCCCTTCATTTTGATTACAACAATTCATTTTAACTTTCAGGTCATACGGACAAGCAATCAATACAGCTTCTGACAATGCCCTCCATTTGTTAGTGGTGCCTCTCCTAAAAACACGCTTATTAGGAGATATGCTAAGCACCAGTGTGGATGTTGCCTCGAGCCACTCAGCAGTCAAACCTTCAACTTCATCATAATATATGCGCCTCTCAACCGCAAGCTTTTGAATATAAATTGACATGAACTTTGGGCCTAGTCCCAATATTCTTGCTTCTGATAGTAAGACCTTTTGCTGCTTCAGGATAAACCATATGTAAAGTCTATCACAGGCATCCTTAACATTTCTACTAGCTTTCTTCCTCTCGTTGCAATGATCAGCAATATCTGCAAGTATTCTAGCACTCGGAACGCTATGCTTCAAGGCTGCAGCTGATAAAGCTTCCCTACATTCAACAGATTCTGCAGCATTTTTATCAAAGTTGATGCCTGTGAAACATCTTTTCTTCCCTCCAACTTCCTTTCCCATCTGCTTCAAATAAATGTTTTCGGCCTCTATCGTAGCAAGTAGTGTCCGATGGACAACAATATCTGAATATCGACGTAAAGGTGATGTAAAATGAGTGTATAAAGGGACAGCAAGTGCATAATGACCCCACTCATGCTCATTATCCTTTAAATAACCACTACAGAAGTAAGAAGCCAACTGCATTGGCTTTGTAGCATAGGAAATAAGTATATCATTAAGCACAGGGTCATCCTTGAGCTTTTCCTTTATTTGCTCTAAGGACCGATGGATATGACCAGATGAAGAAGTCTCCAAATTTAAACCATGCTTCTGACAAAATGCAGTCAACTCTTTGAGCTTCCGCATATTAGGTTCAGGATGCCTCCGCAGTAGTGCAACTTCAGGATAAGCTCTACATATTACTTCAGCAGCTGTTGTATTGGCCAAAAGCATAAACTCCTCGATTAGAAAATTTGATTCTCTCTGTTCAGAAAATGTAATATCATAAGGGATGCCATTATCATCAATCAGAATAACAATTTTGGGGTTATCAAGCTGAAGAGCCCCTCTAGTAAATCTCTTGTGTTTCAACACCTTTGAAATTTCATAGAGACTCTTCAAAGAAGTAAGAACATCCGGCCAATCAAAACGGCCATGAACTTTAGGATAGGCATCTTCATGAAAGCTTGAACTCTCAAAATTGAAAGCACTATCAATGATGTCCTGCGCATGTTCATATGAAAGCTTGCAACAAGAATGAATAACAGTGCGACCAATCCAACGGTCTACAACATCCCCATCAACATTTAGATCCAAGAGCATGGAAAATGCTAGTCGATCCACTCCAGGATTAAGAGATCCAATATTTTCTGTGATTAATGTAGGTAACATTGGTATCTTCTTTTGCAACATGTAAACACTAGTTGACCTAAACCGAGCCTGATCATCTAAAAAAGTGTCTGGTACTACAAAGTATGATGCATCAGCAATATGGATGCCTACTCTATAATTTCCATTACACAACTTCTCAATTGACAGTGCATCATCCAGATCAGTTGCAGATTCGGCTACTTTGGGTCACAAGTCCTCATGGAAGGAAAACTGGATTTGGGCACTTGTAATAGGTTCGCCGTTGGTTTGACAAAAAGAACTTGTGTTTCTATGGCTTGTGAAATTCTCGTGTGGGCCTTGTAAATAAAATATCAACAACTTTGATAACCTCTTGTAATAACCATCAAATGGTATATTTTGCTACAAAATGTGTAACAAGCCTTTTCCCTCATTGGATGATTTTATTTATGAAACAGGCTTATAAAAGCAATGATCCTCTAGGATTCTTTTCCTTTGCAAATTTCATGACGGACTTGGCACGTAATTTGGGCTTGATGCTAGTTCATGGCTTTGTGGATTTGCAAATATAATAATGGAATCCTAATTTGAACTATAGTTTCCTTTATGTCTTGATATTTACTATTTGCATCTTGAAGTTTGCTTAAACAATTCTTTGATTTTTGGTCTTGAATTAGCAACCCTTTTGATTAAAGTCTCTGTGAAAACAACCCAAAAATAATTGAATCCCAATTGCACCTAGCCAAATGAATCAATATTGAATCTTGATTTAACACTTAAAAACAATTTTTTCACAGATCTTTGGATTCTTCTTGAACCAATACTTTGGATTAACCACCACTCCTACACATCTCAATCCACATAAAATTGACCCAAAATGGCGCACAAAACAAAATATCACAAACCCAATCACCATATGTTCACACATTATGATATGGACAAATGAACAAACTTTTCCTGATAAACCTCACTTTCCTTTCATCCGTCCTTGTGACGTCTTGAATTCAAACTCGCAACAACTTAGGTGGAAGATAACTTATTTTTGGATTTTTGGATAATTGTTGATGGATGAAGGGGTATACGTGATGAAAGTGATATACAGAGGTAGGACAAATTTGGGGTATGACAACGCTCAACGTAATAACCAGAATCTAGATACTCAACAAAACTGACCGGAAACTGAACCCTCAACGTAATAACCAGAGTCTGGATACTCAAAGAAAATGACCAGAGCCTGAACGCTCAACTTAATAACTAGAGTTTGGATACTAAACAAAACTGACCGGAGCCTGAACGCTCAATGTAATAACCGGAGTCTGGATACTCAATAAAAATGACCGGACCCTGAACGCTCAACATAATAAACGGTGTCTGGATACCCAACGAAACTGACCGGAGCCTGAATGCTCAACGTAATAACCGGACTCTGGATACTCAACGAAACTGACCAGAGACTGAATGATCAACGTAATAACCGGAGTCTGGATACCCAACGAAATTGGCCGGAGCCTGAACGCTCAACGTAATAACTGGTGTCTGGATACTCAACAAAACTAACCGGAGCCTAAACACTCAACGTAATAACCGGAGTTATGATACTCAACGAAAATGACTGCATCCTGAATGCTGAACGGAATGACCGGAGTCTGGATACTCAACGAAAATGACCGGAGCCTGAACGCTCAACATATTGACCGGAGTCTGGATACTCAACGAAAATGATCGGAGCCTGAACGCTCAACGTAATGACAGGAGTCTAGATACTCAACGAAAATGACCAAAGTCTGAACCCTCAACGTAATAACCGGAGTCTGGATACTCAATGAAAATGACCGGAGCCTGAACGCTCAACGTAATAACCGAAGTTTGGATACTCAACGAAACTGACCGGAGCCTGAACGCTCAACGTAAAGACCGGAGTCTGGATACTCAACAAAAATGATCGGAGCCTTAACGTTCAATGTAATGACCGGAGTCTGGATACTCGACGAAAATGACCGGAGTCTGAACCCTCAACGTAATAATCGGAGTCTGGATACTCAACAAAAATGACCAGAGCCTGAACGCTCAACGTAATAACCGGTGTCTGGATACTCAACAAAAATGACCAGAGCCTGAATGCTCGACGTAATAATTGGAGTCTGGATACTCAACGAAAATGACCGGAGCCTGAACGCTCAACATAATAAATGGAGTCTAAATACCCAACAAAACTAACCGAACCCTGAATGCTCAACGTAATAACCGGAGTCTTGATACTCAACGAAACTGATCGGAGCCTAAACGCTCAACGTAATAACCGGAGTCTGGATACCCAACGAAACTGACCGGAGCCTGAACGCTCAACGTAATAACTGGTGTCTGGATACTCAACGAAACGGACCGGAGACTGAACGATCAACTTAATAACCGGAGTCTGGATACCCAACGAAACTGACCGGAGCCTGAACGTTCAACCTAATAACCGGAATCTGGATACTCAACGAAACTGACCGGAGCCTGCACGCTCAGCGTAATAACTGGAGTCTGGATACCCTACGAAACTTACTGGAGCCTGAACGCTCAACCTAATAACCGGAATCTGGATACTCAAAGAAACTGACCGGAGCCTGAACGCTCAGCGTAATAACTAGAGTCTGGATACTCAACGAAAATGAACGGAGCCTGAACGCTCAACGTAATAAGCGGAGTCTGGATACCCAACAAAACTGACCGGAGCCAGAATGCTCAACGTAATAACTGGAGTCTGGATACTCAACGAAACTGACCGGATCCTGAACGCTCAACGTAATAACCAGAATCTGGATTCTCAACGAAACTGACCGGAGGCCTGAACGCTCAACGTAATAACTAGAGTCTGGATACTCAACGAAAATGACCAGAGCCTGAACGCTCAACTTAATAACCATAGTTTAGATACTAAACTAAACTGACCGGAGCCTGAACGCTCAACGTAATAACCGGAGTCTGGAAACTCAACAAAAATGACCGGACCCTGAATGCTCAACGTAATAACTGGTGTCTGGATACCCAACGAAACTGACCGGAGCCTGAACGCTCAACGTAATAACCGGAGTCTGGATACTCAACGAAACTGACCAGAGACTGAACGATCAACGTAATAACCGGAGTCTGGATACCCAACGAAACTGACCGGAGCCTGAACGCTCAACGTAATAACTGGTGTCTGGATACTCAACGAAACTGACCGAAGCCTGAACGCTCAACGTAATAACCGGAGTCTGGATACCCAACAAAACTGACTGGAGCCTGAACGCTGAGCCTAATAATCGGAATCTGGATACTCAACAAAACTGACCGGAGCCTGAACGCTCAGCGTAATAACTAGAGTCTGGATACTCAACGAAAATGACCAGAGCCTGAACGCTCAACGTAATAACCAGAGTTTGGATACCCAACGAAATTGACTGGAGCCTGAACGTTCAACGTAATAACTGGAGTCTGGATACTCAACGAAACTGACCGGAGACTGAAGGATCAACATAATAACCGGAATCTGAATACCCAATTAAACTGACCTGAGCTTAAACGTTCAACGTAATAACCGGTGTCTTGATACATAATCAAACTGACCGGAGCCTGAACGCTCAACGTAATAACCAGAATCTAGATACTTAACAAAACTGACCGGAAACTGAACGCTCAACGTAATAACCAGAGTCTGGATACTCAAAGAAAATGACCAGAGCCTGAACGCTCAACTTAATAACCAGAGTTTGGATACTAAACAAAATTGACCGGAGCCTGAACGCTCAATGTAATAACCGGAGTCTGGATACTCAATAAAAATAACCGGACCCTGTACGCTCAACATAATAAACGGTCTGGATACTCAACGAAACTGACCAGAGACTGAATGATCAACGTAATAACCGGAGTCTGGATACCCAACGAAATTGGTCGGAGCCTGAACACTCAACGTAATAACTGGTGTCTGGATACTCAACAAAACTAACCGAGGCCTAAACACTCAACGTAACAACCGGAGTTATGATACTCAACGAAAATGACTGCATCCTGAATGTTGAACGAAATAACCGGAGTCTGGATACTCAACGAAAATGACCGGAGCCTGAACGCTCAACATATTGACCGGAGTCTGGATACTCAACGAAAATGATCGGAGCCTGAACGCTCAACGTAATGACAGGAGTCTAGATACTCAACGAAAATGACCAAAGTCTGAACCCTCAACGTAATAACCGGAGTCTGGATACTCAATGAAAATGACCGGAGCCTGAACGCTCAACGTAATAACCGAAGTTTGGATACTCAACGAAACTGACCGGAGCCTGAACGCTCAACATAAAGACCGGAGTCTGGATACTCAACAA